TGAAGAGGTCTTGGGGGTTCAGACGGCACGCCGATTTGCGGCGCTGGCGCGCTGTGTGGTAGGGTTCGTGGACGGCCCCTTCAAGAGGGTCCTTGAGCGCCCCGAGGCCCCTTAATTGTGGGCTCCTGGAGGCAGCTTCCCCTGGGCCCAAACTTGGGGCGCGGATGCCGAATTGCAGCAGGCAGCTGGACTGTCAATGATAGTGTTCAGACACAGCCCCGCCGCAGACGCCGACGTGCTGTCGTAGAGTCAGCGCGGGCCGGATCGGGGGAATGGCACGAGGGCGCTTTCCCAAACCAGTGCGAGCAAGCCCGCCGTAGACGCCGATTTGCGTGCTCTGACCAGTTCAACGTGGGGGGGTCGCTGGTGGGCCAGCCGGAACGACTGCAAAAACAGCCCGCCGCAGGCGCCGAATTTTTGGCTTGTTCAATGAACGCAGTTTGGGTCGCGGGTGGGTCGCGGGCTCTCCACTTCCACTTGGAAGGAATTCAGACACAGCCCGCCGCAGGCGCCGACAAACGTTGATTTGTACACTGAGCGCGGTTTGGGTCGCAGGTCCTCCGCCTGGAACGAATGCCAAAGAAACCCGCCGCGAGCGCCGTAGTTCTGGTTCGTTCAATGAACGTAGTTTGGGTCGTGGGTGGGTCGCTGGCTCTCCACTTCCACCTGGAAGGAATTCAGAAACAGCCCGCCGCAGGCGCCGAAGTTTTGATGTGCACACTGAACGCGGTTTGGGTCGCGGGTGGGTCGCAGGTTCTCCAGCTGGAAGGAATGCAAAAGAAGCCCGCCGCAGGCGCCGAACATTTTGGGTGGGTCGTGGGGTGGGTCGCTGGTGGGTCGCGTGTGGTCGCGGTGGGTCGCGGGTGGGTCGCGGGCGCGGTTGGGTCGCGGGGTCGCGGGTGGATCGCATGTTTTCATTTGGAAGGAATGCAAAAGAAACCCGCCGCAGGCCCCGACAATTTTGGGTGGGTCGCGGGGTGGGTCGCGGGTGGGTCGCGTCGGTGGGTCGCGGGTGGGTCGCGGGTGGGTCGCGGGTGGGTCGCGGGGTGGGTCGCGGGTGGGTCGCGGGTGGGTCGCCAGGGGGTCGCGGGTGGGTCGCCAGGGGGTCTCGGGGTGGGTCGCGGGCGGGTCGCGGGGTGGGTCGCGGGCGGGTCGCGGGGTGCGTCGCGGGTGGGTCGCGGGGTGGGTCGTGGGTGGGTCGCGGGGTGGGTCGCGGGGTGGGTCGCGGGCGGGTCGCGGGGTGGGTCGCGGGTGGGTCGCGGGGCGGGTCGCGGGTTGGACGACGACACCAATGAACAACAAACAACAACATCAACAACAACAGCAACAACAACACCACCAACAACAACAACGACAACAACAACAGCAGCAGCAGCAGCAACAACAGCAACAACAACAACAACAACACCAGCAACAACAACAACAACAACAGCAGCAGCAGTAGCAACGACAACAACACCACAACAACAAGAACAACAACAACAACACCACCAACAACAACAATCAGTTTCATATTGTTCGCCCTTATCTGATCGAGTGTCCAATATCGCGTATTTCCCACCCCCCCGATACCCGCCCTCTTCGTCTTCGATCGAACCCCTTTTGGGGGGTATACCTTTCTTCCCTGCAGGCCGGGCCCCGGCAAGCGGCGGGGCGGTTTGGCCTGGCCAGCGGCAGTGCTGATCGGCGGGGCGGCCGCGGACCGTCGACCCGACCCTAAAAAGGACGGACAGGGGACCGACCACGACGACGACGACGACGTCGACGACCACGGCGACGACGACGACGACGACGACGGCGACGACGAGCGAAAGCGAGAGCGAGCAAGAACGACAGCAGGGCCACGAAGGACACGAAGTACGTAGGCCACGAAGGCCGACAGCGGGGACACGAAGGGAATGCGTATGGGGCCACGAAGAGCGCGAACGAGCCGGGGCCACGAAGGGCAGATAATGCGGGGCCACAGAGGGCAACGATGGGGCCACTGAGGGTAGCAAGTGGGCCACGTAGGACAGTGAGAGGACCACAAACGGCGACAGCGGGGCGACGAAGGGCATGCACATGGGGCCACAACGGGCGAAAACGAGCGGGGGCCACGAAGGGAATACGTATGTTGGGCCTCGGAGGGCAAGGGCGGGACCACTGAGGGCAGCAACGGGGCCAAAAAGGGCAGCGAGGGGGCCACGAAGGGCGACAACGGGGCCACGAAGGGCATGCATATGGGGCCACCAAGGGCGCGAACGAACGGGGGCCACGAAGGGCATACATATATGGGGCCACGAAGGGCAGCGAGGGGGCCACGAATGGCTGCAACGGGGCCACGAAGAGGAGCGAGGGGGCCACGAAGGGCTGCAACGGGGCCACGAAGGGCTGCAACGGGGCCACGAAAGGCAGCGAGGGGGCCACGAAGGGCTGCAACGGGGCCACGGAACAAAGCAAGGGGGCCACGAAAGGCTGCAACGAGGCCACGAAGGGCAGCGAGGAGGCCACGAAGGGCAGCGAGGGGGTCACAGAACAAAATCAGGGGGCCACGAAGGGCTGCAACGGGGCCACGAAACAAAGCGAGGGGGCCACGAAGGGCTGCAACGGGGCCACGAAGGGCAGCGAGATCCAGATCTCTAGGTAATATGCGAGGGCGTCCTAAGCGTGAACGCGACTCCTGGGCGCCTGGGTGTCGGGAGCGCGGCGCTTGAGTAAATTGCAAGAATTCCAACGCAAGGGCGCTATTCGTCAGCAGGTCTCCATCAAGAGCGCGACTCCAGAGCGCCGGGAAAGAGATTCCTGAATAAATCGTAAGGAAGTCCAAAGCGAGAGCGCGACTCTTGAATAAAATGTGAGAAGTCTCGGGCGGGAGCGGGGGTCCTGGCTAAATTGTGAGGAAGTCTCAGGCGGGAGCCGTTGTTGTTGTAACCCAGGGGCCAGGGGGCCAGTTTGAGCAGGAAGATTTTCCCTATCAGAAAACAGGGTGCGAGCGTCGAGGGCACATTTTGATTGAGAAAAAACAGTATGCACCGGTGGGGGGGATCAGCAGTACTTATTCAGAAACGAGAGCTCAACACCAACAACAACAACAACAACAACAACAACAACAACAATTACTAGCACGTGGGGACACTCCGTTCTCACCAGTGCCAAGGTTTTCATAGGAGGCGGGCAATGCCCCCACTTTGTGGGGGGGCCGGTTCAAGCTCTACCAAATTTCCAAACGACTCTTCGCCACCACCCACACCCAGCTTCCCGCCCTATGACGTTCGGACACTTCACTTCGTGGCATGCGGACGACCGTGGCTACTATTCAGGGCCCCGCGGCCGACGACGACGGCGTGCGCGCGCGAAGAAAAAACGAATGTGTCCCGCATGGTATTATTTGACAGGGATGATGGCCCTGGCAGGTGCGCAACCGTTGTTGCAGAAGTTCGAAAAAGTTGCTCGCAAAAGCCCGTTTGACAGAAATGTTTAAAAAGTGTTGGGTTTCCGACAAATCCACAAGGGCGCGCGGGATGAAAATTTTACATTTTTTTTTTTTTGAAAAACCATTGGTTTTTTGATGTTTTTATGTTGAAATCGCTACGAACACTAAGGTTTTGGAAGGATTTCGTCTTGCGCGCGCGAATGTCCATTTTACCTCATTTGTTGCAAGGGATTCTTGAAGTTTGGTTATGTTAGAACAAGAAATGTCCACTTCAGCTCGTTTTTTGCAAGGGAAAACAGGGGACAACAAAACAACCGGATCCGGACACCCACGTTTTGCCTGAGACTTCCTCACGAAAATGATGAAAATGTGGCTGCGGCCTAGGCGCGGCGAGGGGGCCGCGCACCAGGGGTCCCAACAATAATTATTCTTTAGAATAAATAATGTTCAACAACAATTACTAGCACGTGGGGACACTCCGTTCTCACCAGTGCCAGGGTTTTCATAGGAGGCGGGCAATACCCCCACTTTGTGGGGGGGCCGGTTCAAGCTCTACCAAATTTCCAAACGACTCTTCGCCACCACCCACACCCAGCTTCCCGCCCTATGACGTTCGGACACTTCACTTCGTGGCATGCGGACGACCGTGGCTACTATTCAGGGCCCCGCGGCCGACGACGACGGCGTGCGCGCGCGAAGAAAAAACGAATGTGTCCCGCATGGTATTATTTGACAGGGATGATGGCCCTGGCAGGTGCGCAACCGTTGTTGCAGAAGTTCGAAAAAGTTGCTCGCAAAAGCCCGTTTGACAGAAATGTTTAAAAAGTGTTGGGTTTCCTACAAATCCGCAAGAGCGCGCGGGATGAAATTCAGACACTTTTTTTTTGAAAAACCACTGGTTTTTTGATGTTTTTATGTTGAAATCGCTACGAACACCAAGGTTTTGGAACGATTTCGTCTTGCGCGCGCGAATATCCACTTTACCTTTTTGTTGCAAGGGATTCTTGAAGTTTGGTTATGTTAGAACAAGAAATGCCCACTTTAGCCTATTTTTTGCAAGGGAAAACCGATCGTAACAACACAACCGGATCCGGACTCCCCCGTTTTGCCTGAGACTTCCTCACGAAAATTATGAAAATGAGGCTGCGGCCTAGGCGCGGCGGGGGGGTCGTGCACCAGGGGTCCCAACAATAATTATTCTTAAGAAGAAATAATGTTCAAAGAGTCCGCATCGCGGAATTCCACTTCAGCCACGCACCCAAGGACAGTGAATGACCGTTCGGTTCAGCCCCTCATTCTGACAATTTAAGCACATACAAACAAATTGCGCGCCGCACGCAATGTGCATATTTGCATATGGGACAGGAGGAACGCGACAAACGAGTTTCACCATCATCCAGCTGGCACAACCAGTGTAGACGGAGAGTCGCCAGGCACACAACGAGCGCGACACGACCGAGCCTGCAAACGGCGAACACCTTGCAGAGGGCTGTGGCCTCGGAAGAAGCGGCGTTCCTGGAAGTGGGGAAGGAGGAGATGGAGATGGTCTGGGGGGCTGCCCCCCCCCCACACACTCCCGCCGCACCAGGCTCCAAGAAAGCCGCGGCCGCCTGTTCCTGCAGGCCCTGCCGCGCTTCCAGTGACAGCGGAGGGCCTTCCCCGTCCGGTCCTCCTGTTTTCACCTTCCCTCTCTCTTCTCCTCGCTGTTCCTCCTTCCATCGTCGTTCCTCCCTCGTGCTATCGCCTGGCCGCAGCGGACAAGCAGAACTCATCGGTTAAAGTTACCAAGTGCTGCTCCGAGGGCATGACAGCCCAGCAGCTCACGGAGGTCGGAGTTTGCGTCCGCCCTTCAACAGGTACACAACAACGAGATGCTTCACCTGGAAGTAAGCTCCAGGGAGCCAGCGATAGCTGCGAGTTCTGCATGCTAAGGACAGACGACATGCTCACCATCAGCAGCGCGAGGCTCACGTGCATTGCTCCTCCACGGAATTTGAGCTGAAATGCGCAGGAGTTGATCAACGGGATGGGGCTCAAAAGTGATTGCGTCATCGAATGCACTTTCAGTGAGACGCTCCGCCGCTTCCATCCCCGTGCAGCCTGGAGTGCTCCAGTAGAGACGCAGACATTCTGCAGCTGGTCTAACGCACATGCATCACATCAGATTCGCAGACATTTGTCCGCTGGGACCCCTTCCCCTGCGTCGGTCCCGCCCCGTCCTAGGCCTTGCTCGTTGCGCGCGATGCCGCCTCTGCCCTTGTTCCGCCTAGCCCAGATTACGGAATACGGAAGCAATACATCCGGCATGCGATCACAGCTAGTGTTCAAAGAAACAAAAGAGGAGGCCGACGGGGAAATGAGACAAATGAGAAAGGCCAAGGAGTGCACGGAGCCAAGACATGTCCTTCGTAACCTCTTGACCCCGGCCTCCCTCCACGAAATTGTGCGGCTAGTGGAGGCCGTCCCACAGGACGGCGACGCGGGTCGGGAGAGGGGCTGAAGAAGGCGGCGAGGGCGGCTTCCTTCCAACCACCGCCACCCCGCAACATTCATCCTGTCGTCAGGGTAACGCAGGCCCCCCCCCCCCACTTGAACACCTGGAATCGGCAGACTTGTGCCGTCAACAGGTGAAATGGGCAACGGCGTTCACGGTTGAGCGCACGAAGGAGGGCTCGCGAGGGACGTCGCCGTGCGACCGCTTGGCTCGCAACCCAGACTCTTCCAGCACACTCACCGAAACGGTCAGAAACTTTACCGCAAGTACTTCGGCTGCAGAAATGATTGCATTTCGAGGCATTTGCACTGACTGGTGCTGAACATAGAGTTGGCCGCGGAAGTCAGCGCAACAAATCACGCATCTTCCATATTGTGAAGGCGCCTAGACTATTCAAATGCATATGAAAAGTCAACCGTCCGTGGCAATTAACAATCCCACAAACTGGGATAACGTACAGGGCACCGTATGTAAGAAACGTTGTGTCAACAAATCGTGCGCAAGTGTGTTTTTGGAACCTGATCCAGTTCATCTTAACATTCGACCTGAACGGAAGGTTTAGCCCGCCGTTGACCAGATTTCGGAGCTCAGAGGACTGCTTGCTCGAGCATGGTTCCGCGAGCTTCTGATAGCGCGTGCCACTGGTGACACCCCCCGCACGAGCAGCCGAAAATTACAGGGAGCCTGCTGCCTACGGTTGCACAGTTTTGCATGGTGTGTTGCAGGTCTTTGGCTGCGGCTGCTAGCCCTCGGAGTTTAGAGGGCACTGGCTTGCACATTTGCAGCGAAAAGAAGATCCAGACCACAGGGGCTCGTGCTCCGCGACGAATGGACGCGGAGCGCGCTCAGGTATTCTTTTCTGGATGTTTGGCCATATAACTTGGGCAGGCGCCCGTGTGCCTAAGGTCCTTGCCTGCTGCGACCATTAGCTCCTGGTAAGTCTGGAGAGACCCCTTATGCAGGAAGACTTCGTCTGGATGAAGGGCATGTAGTCTCGCGGCCTGACCTGCGTGCCAGTCGGCTGCCCTGCTTCCCTGAATATCATAGGCATCGGCAACTTCCAAGGCAGCCTCTTCACTGCGATGGGCTTTGGTTTTCCGGAGCTCAGCCCACGAGTCAGCAGGGAGAAAAGAGGCAAGCGTACGCCAGTGAGTTGCAAATTTACTAGTACTTAATAGGCGTTTTCTGGCCACACATACATTTTCATGAGAGCTGCGTAGTCTACAATGTATCGGGGCAGTGCGATGGTGCCCAGACCACATGGATGCCATCGCAAGGGCAGCATGCTCGGCATGGCCTGACAGTTGCGGATGGCCTCGAGGGAGAGGGGCACGGATTTCCCTTCATACATTGCCCTCAGGATCTAATTGCTTGATGGCCGCTCGTGCTACATAGCGAAGCGTGGGGTTTAAACAATTTCCATCTACATAATTTGTGAGGTCTCCTCGACAAGTCTTGTTTCTCGGCGTCCGCGTCAGCTCCGCCCTGTCCTCGTCCCTGCTGGCTTCGCTGCCTTGCCGCTTCCGGTCTCCCCCCTGTCGATCCCTTTCATCACATTTCTTGTAATTGTCGCCTCTTCGGTCCTAGCATCACGTTCTCGGTATTTCATTCATGTGCGCAGCATGGCGCCCAGTTCTTGCGACTTCTGTTTCCACACCTCCGCGGCAGTGGGGCAGGTTTGCTCGTCCTGCCTCGGGTCGGCGCAGGCCCGAGCCCTTCCTCCCCCTCGCCATCCACCTGGATCATCCCTGGCCAACGCCCCATTGCGGGCGCAGACTGGAACCGCTTCACCTTTCGCGCGTCTCGACCGCCGCGGCGAGCTCCTTATGAGGCCTCAGTGGGCGCAGTTCCACTCAGGGCTAACCTTTGTAGTGGAAGTTGTCGCGGGTTCGTTGATCGCATCGCCGCCTCGCACAATTCACCACAACATTGCCGCCCGCACCGCCTCGTGGGCGCTTCTTGGGCGCCCCGCGCTTGGGGGGTCTGTAGCGTGTTCGCAACACTGCCATCCGTGTCGCCTCGTGGGCGCCGCGTGGGCGCCCCGCGTTTGGGGGCTAAGCCGCCTGGTTCGCCTCGTGGACGGCACGTGGACGCCACGTGTTCTGAGCTCACACGACGTAGCTTTCACTACATGCCTTGCACCCCGCAACTTACACCACGCCGCCTACACCCGCATAGCTGACACAACATAGCTTGCACCACAAAGCTTACACCACATAGCATACACCACATAGCCTACATAGCACAGCTTTCGCCTCCACAGCTCTCATCACATACCTTGGAGGGCACAGCTTCCACCACATAGTTTACATTGCATAGCTTTCACTCCCACAGTGCAGTAACGCATTGTTTTGGGCTCACGCTGGCTAACGTTATGAACTGACGCCTTTTCCGTCTCGGTGCTGGATTCGTACGTTGTGGCGCTTGCGACTGTTCCGATTAGGTCGATCCGCCTCTGGTGGTGCTTGGGCAGCGAAGTAGCTGATCGACCGTCCAATCCGCAGCTTTGACCGAGCGCTCGTAAACACCTGCCCTGGCCACCTCTCCCCCAAGGCCGCCCACATGTCGCCTCTGTTCAACAATTGTGCAGGTCTGGCACTGACCATTATCTGGTCATCCTTCCTCCCTTGCAGCCTTTCCTCCTTCATCTCCGCCTCTCACCTTTTCATCAGCCTCACCTCTTTATGTCTTTCGTTATTCCTCTCCCTCTCTATCTCTCTCTCCCCCCCTCTTGGGAGCGGGGCGTGCACTTTGGTGGTAGCTCGACCACATGCCGATGCTAACGTCAGTGCCGAGGTCGTGGACATTCTGAGGAGCCACATACCATCCCACCCCGAAACCTCTCGGGCGGGTATTAGGGCTGGGGCTACTGGATGCTGGATGTGTCTCTTCCGCTCCTCCCTTCTCATCTCCATTTGCCTTCCCCGACACCCGTCCCCGCTCATCTTCTCATGTGCCCCTTCCATCGCATTCCCGCCCTCATCTTTCTCAATCGCTCTCGCCCTCATGTTTTGCTCGCCCCCCTTCTCGCACTGCTCCTCATTGCCCCCTGAGGAGAAGGGCGAGGATGAGAAGGAGGAGGGAGGAGGAGGACTTCCTCCCCCCCTCGTTTTTTGGACAGAACAAAATGACATGGTGTGGCGGTCACAAATTCTTGGCTGCGTTGGGGGGGGGGGGCGGTCGCAATATGCCGCGTGTTCGCTCCAAGCCTTCGGACCCGACCCAGGGTGCGGAACTTCTGCCCCCCCCCTCCCTGCCCCAGACAGCGAACGGCCTTCTGAGTGGGAGCTCTCGAACCTTGTCTCGTGTCCCGGTTTCCGCTTGCCGTGTCGTTGACGGTGTTTTGGGGGCAGGATTTGCCCCCCCCCCCCCCCCGGGTGGGTCGGTGCAACAAAGTGGAAGAAACCCGCGCTCTCTGGCCAGTCCGCGGCTGGGCCAGTCAGCGCCTGCGCTCCGTTGCCATTTTAGCTCAATGGCCAGAGCGGACAGCGACAACAGAGTCCTCTGGTGGTCGCGGCAACGCGCCCCATCAGAGTACCCTTTTGATTCCTGCGCACCTCAGTCGCCACTTGCGCGATGGAACCAGACGAGGTTGAGCTGTCAGACTTGCGCACTGTTGGACCCGTGCTCGAGTGGTGTGGGCTTCCTAGTCCGGCTGCGCATGCTTGGAAACCGACATTTTGAGTTGACGACACCACGAGCATGCGCAGCATCGCACGCATGCAACAGTCTGACTACAACACTTTCGCTTCCAGCATCAACGTCAAAAGTGCGTCCTCAGGCGAGGCCGAGGCGCTCGTTGAGCCCACGCTGCACGCGTTTTCTTTGTTTGGCCTGGTCTGGGAGGTGGCGCATTATACGATGGGAGTTCGCAAACTGCTGTCGCCAGGGAGCGTGAGCTGCAAACTGGCTGTGATCACCACCTTGCGGTCACAAAGGCTTCTCCCACTTCAGCTCCGACGCATGTGGTTGCATCGGCGCTTGCAGTTGCGAAAACGCTCAGCGCCGAGACGGTCGTTGACCAGGGGGACCGGAAGACGGAACACACCCTGTTCGGCAAGGAGGACGTGGATGGGCTCCGGGAATGCTGGGGCGGAGTTTATTACTCCCCATGAAGATGTCATTACTGGAACAGTTGATCGTCTTGCATGCTATTTCGGCCGCCGGGTCGACTCCATATACAGATTTTTTTTGTACGGGGGCCCGAACGGCAACGGGCTCCGGCGCAAGCCAGCATTTGAAGGATACGCTTTGGCGAGTGAAGGGGCGTTGCATACAAACGTATCGAAAAGGGCAATGCACGTAAGAGTATTGGAGGGCATATTGCGCCATCCGAGCGTTTCCGGAGCCCTTTGACATCTATGCGGATCACATAAACGCTTTCATAAAAGGCATGGCCCTCGCACGTGGCTGCTGCTGTACCAGTCAGACGTCCGAATGCGGCTGGGGAGCTGCGAGAGGGTCGGGCGCCGTGGAGAGGCAACGCAGAAGCGCGCTGCTGCTCTCAATCCCCCCCAGAGACACGGCTGTCATCCAGACATGCCCTGGGATTGGGTACTCACTGCAGCAACAACAGATTCCGAATTTTGGTGCGACGCGCTCGATGATATCGCAGTTCTCATCCGCGCGGAGGTCGTGAAGATAGGGGGCTGGCTCGGACTGGAGGTCTCGGGCGCGGTGGCGCCTCAGGTTTCTGGCAGGGGCGCTGGCAGTGGCAACGCCGCTGCGACTGCTGGTACAAGCCGGAAAGCCCCAGCTGCTACAGAGCAGGAGCGGCGGCAACGACCGATCCAGGAGCGCAACCGGGACGAAAATGCACTGGGTGTCAGGGGATGTCTACACCCACGGCCGTGCAGAGAAAGAGCTATGTGCAGGAAACCAAATTGGGCAGTGCGCCAACGCGGTCACCCGCAGTGACGCGCCGACGTGCCGGTCGATTGGCAAGGCCCACCAGTTCGACCAGCGCCTCGGGCGGCATCCAAGCAATCCGCCCAGCGGCCCCAAGCGCGCGAACAACGCCACTGGCAAGCGGGCAGGCAGCGCTGGCCCGAAGGGCAAGGACAAGCGGAAGGGATCGAAGCGCTGAGCCGCAGCATCGCCTGTGCCGGCGGGCAAGTGAAAGAGATGCTCTTGGTGTCGACGCGGCTGCCCGCGCGCTGGATGATGGCCGCAGCTCTGCCCGGTGGCGGCCCCTGCTGCGGCCTGGCACGTTGGTGCGCGACGGCGCCGCGCCGTTGCCAGAGCTGGTCTCGGACTTGCGATCCAGGCGCGGCGGTTTCGACGTCATTGACCCAGCCAGCGCAGAAGGCGAAGAGAGAATTCTGGATCATATTGCATTCGAGCAGAAACTGCAAGCCATAGGCCGCTACCATCGGCTCATTGTCGCGTTCCCTTTTTTGCGCCTTCGTCGCCGCGCCCGGGCTAGACCTTCCGGCGCGCCGCGCGGCGAAGGGGGCAGGGCGCGACGGCGTCGCGCGCGCGACGAAGGGCCCAGCCGCCAAAGGGGGCGCGCGCGCAGTGTAAACGGCATTGCGCACTGTCCGGCAGCAGTGGCCCAATTTGCAGGGGGGCGCCGTCAGACCCGCCGCCTGATGACCGATCTTGGAGCGGGCGGCCCGCTGGAGCCATCGCTCGCGCGGTCTTCAGCTGATGCGAGACTGCAGCTTTCAGGGGCGACCTCGCCTCGCTGGGCCCAGGCCCAGATTTCCCGCTGGGCGCGCCTCAGGGTAGGCAGGCGGCGCCTGAGACGCCAGACCAGAAAACGACCTTGGGGCCCGCAGGGCGCCCGCGCGACAGCGCGCCTGACTGCGCAAGACGGCTGGCCTTCGAAGTCAGACGTGGAGGGGCTCGCCGTCGGCGGTCTCAGGAGAGCTGCCAAGTCAGTTGGGGAACTCCCAATGCTTGCGGGCGCAGTCGTTCTCTTGGGCGCAAGTGAGACGTGTTCCTCGATGGGGCGGATGGACATGGACTCTTCGATGCCACTCTGGACACGCATCGCGGCGCCCTAGCGTCGTGGATTGGATGTCCGGACGTGTCCATGTTTGAGTGGGCCCGACGACGTTGGGGCGGATCTCCGGCCTGGAGGCCTGGCGACCCCGGCGTGGAGATTTCACGGTGGTTCTGCTGCGGGGGGCCGACAGAGGTGGCGCGGGTGCCTCGCCAGTGCGGCGTCTTCCCAGATGCTGCGGAGGACGCCCTGGGCGATTCGCGTCAATTGCTGGAAAGGTACCCCGACGTCGGTTCACGCGAGATCGATTACGACGATTATGATTTCGTTGAGCTGATGAGTTTCGTCGACGAAGGCTTCGTCAGATGCTTCGGTGGTATGCAGGAAGTCCGGGTGTACGTCGGAGGTGCCATCGCTTTGCCTGAGTTGGCCTCTCTGTCGAAAAACGCGCCCCGACGGGTCGGTCAAATGCTCATCTTGAATTTCACAGCGTCTGGGCTGTCAAGGTCCAGTGTGAAGTCCGAGCGATGCTTCTTTCCCCGCGTAGTCGACGATGTCTTCGACAACTTGGAGTTGCTGTCCTTCCAGCCGCAGCCCGGCCAGGTTGGCGAGGGGGCCGAGTGCGTCGTCATCGTTTTCGCCGACGCTTATTGGCAGCTCCCGATCGCCCCGGAGGAGCGGCGATAGTTTCCGCGCGCAGTGCGAGGGGAGGTTTTCGCGTTCTTGCGCGCCGCCCAGGGCTCCCGGGGAGGCCCCATCCCGTGGGGCCGCGCTGCGGCCTGTGCGTCCAGATGGGTGCAGGCATTGTCGCCCGCGTGCGATCTTCTTTAAAACTCTTGCGTCGATGACCCCGCCATGGCGGTCGGGGGCGGCCTGGCTTTTCGCGAGACCACTGTTGCGAAGGTGCTGCGCACATGGCTTGCCGTCGGCTTTTCCTTCTCCAGGCAGAAGGCTCATCGAGGCAAGTTCGCTTCGCGGGCGTCGACTGTTTTGGCGGTGGATTCCGATGGCGCGCGCGCGCCCATCATGCCGGAGCTCGCGCAGCACGCGTGGGAGGACACCGTCGCCTTCTTGAACGACAGCGCGCTGGCGAAGAGGGCGTTGCGTACGCGTGCAGGCCGCGCTGTTCACGTAGCTGATTTACTGCGTGCGTGGGTGCTTTCTTGTCGCAGTTGTGGATGGCCCTGACCGACAAAACCGCGGCGCCTGCAGCGCCTCGCGGCTGCGTCTAGACCGAGCAGGCGGCAGCCACGCTGCTGTGGGTTCGAGCTTTCCTTCGCAGAAAGCAGGGCAGCGTCGACAGAGCGCCCACCGCCGACCCGCACAACGGCCTCGGGGAGCAGGTCGCCATCAAGTTTGACGCACGCGCGCGGTGACTTGGCGGCATCTTGCTCGAGCGAGGGGCCCCTGTAGCGCGCGTCGCGTCGGAGGTCGCAGACTTCGGCCCTGCTGCTGCTTGACAGCCGAGGCTGCCGCGGGCAGCAGCTATGCGAGGGGCTCGCGGCCCTGGCGGGGCTGCGCCTCTGGGCGCACCATTGGCAAGGCCGCCGCGCCGACGTCGCCGTCCAGAGCGATTTCGTGTTGACCCTGGCCATGGCGATGCGTTGCAGGACGAAAGGCCCCGCAGGCACGGCCGCGGCTGCTCGTGAACTCGCGCTTCGCATTGCTGAGGCCGCGCGCGGGCCGGATGCGGTAGCGCACGCCCCTGGCGATTTCTACCTCGCAGCCGACGAGCTGTCGCAATGTTTCTGCCCTGCCAGCCCGCGGACCGCGCCCCGAGTCCTTGCGCGGGCGGTTCGCGAGAGCCCGCCCGAGCGCGCCCGGGGGGGGGGGTCCGGGCGCTGCAGGGCCCAGCCGAGCCATAATTTGTTTTTTGGGGCTAGTAGGGCGGGGCAAACATGGAGGGGTGCACGTTGATTGTCAGCGAACCACCGTTGCATCAGATCTTCGCGTTGCATGCTTCTCTCGTCTTGTTAACTCACCCAGGCGCATTCGCCGGGGGAGACCAATGATGAACATGATGATGGTCAACCGGTAGGCGCGCCGAGCGTTTCGACGGACCGGCGCCATTGCCATCGTGCACGTGCGTCTTCCTCCTTGCAATGGGTAGGCGCACCGAGCGTTGCGACGGGTCGGGGGCACTGCCATTATGCATTCGTTTCCTACCCTCCATTTAATCGCTTCGCTCATTCCGCCGACCCATACTGTCGCAGCGCCGTCGGTTGGCCGAGCGGTCGTTTGCAGGTCGGGCCTGCGGGGGCGGGGGCTCCTAGTCTAAGTCGTTTCGTTCGGAATGATGAATGTTGGGGCTTACGCAGCTCTCGTGGAGCAGTCTGGGGGCGATTCGCCAGGACTTTCCGGGGGGTTGGAGGATTTGTTCCCCACATCCAAAGTGGGGTTCTTGTTTTCTCTGGACAGCGCGCGCAGGAACAGGGCCCCACCATCATCATCATCACTCATTCCTCACTCACTCACTCATCATCCCTCACACACTCACTCACTCACACACTCACTCACTCACTCACTGACTCATCAGCACTCACATATGATGATGATGAATGTGCGCGTGAACGAGTGTGATGATGATCGTCATCATCACCAGTCAGTCAGTGACTCACTCACTCACTCACTCGCCTTGGGTTTCGTTTGTGAGTGAATTATGAAGAAGTCTCAGGCGGGAGCCCTTTTGGGCTCCTGAGGCTTGAATATGATGGAAGTCTCTTGCTCATCCGAGCGGGTCATCGGGATCCTGTAACTGTCGTCACGTTTGGGCTCCTGAGGCTTGAATCTGGAGGAAGTCTCAGGCGGGGGCCTCGCCTGTGAGTAAATTGGGAGGAAGTCTCAGGCGGGAGCCCCTCCCTATGGGGCCCGCGGGTGATGCTATTAATCCGAGCGGGTCATCGGGATCCTGTATTTGTCGTCACTTTTGGGCTCCTGAGGCCTGAATCTGGAGGAAGTCTCAGGCGGGAGCCTCGTCTCTGAGTGCATTGCGAGGAAGTCTCAGGCGGTAGCCCCCTTCCGATGGGGCCCGCAAATCATTTCACTAATCGGGTCGTCGGATTCCTGTACCTCTCGTCAATTTTTGGGCTCTTCAGGCTTGAATATGGAGGAAGTCTCAGGCGGGAGCCTCGTCGGTGAGTGAATTGCGAGTGAGTTCGTGCTTCCAGAACACCATTCCCAGGCCACATTTTGAATGCCCGGAGCCAGCCACTTCGTGTTGGTCGTGTTTCCAGAGCGCTATTCCCAGCACGTATCCACTGGAACGCACCCCTGTGCGCTTCCTCTGGGTCGTGCCCCCGCACGTATCCACTGGGACGCACCCTGTGCGCTTCCTCTGGGTCGTGCCCCCGCACGTATCCACTGGGACGCACTGGGTCGTGCCCCCGGCACGTATCCACTGGGACGCACCCCTGTGCGCTTCCTCTGGGTCGTGTTCCGGCACGTATCCACTGGGACGCACCCTGTGCGCTCCCGCACGTATCCACTGGGACGCCCCCCTGTGCGCTTCCTCTGGGTCGTGCCCCCGTACGTATCCACTGGGACGCACTCCTGTGCGTTTCCTCTGGGTCGTGTTCGGCACGTATCCACTGGGACGCACCGTGTGCGCTTCCTCCTGGGTCGTGTTCCGGCACGTATCCACTGGGACGCACCCTGTGCGGTTCCTCCTGGGTCGTGCTCTGGATCCACTGGGACGCACTCCCTTCCGCTCGAGACATCCTCGCAACTCTGGGTTCCGACACGCCCTGGGGTGAGGTGTTCAGGCAGCTTTCGCTTGAGATATCCTCGCAACTCTGATCTCGGAAGTGCCGTGCCCCATGGTGGCCCGGCCACTTTCACTTGAGACATCCTCGCAACTTTGAGTTCCGAAACGCCCTGAAGTGAAGTGTTCAAGCCACTGCCGCCTGAGACATCCTCGCAACGTTGACCTCGGATACTCCCTGCCACTTAGTGGTCTGGCCGCTTCCGCCTAAGACATCGTCAAACTCTGACCTCGGAGGTGCCCTACCCCATGGTGTCCGGGCACTTTCGCCCGAGACATCTTGGCAACTCTGGGTTGCGAGATGCCTTGAGCTCAGGTGTTCAGGCCACTTTCACTTTAGACATCCTCGCAACTCTGGGTTCCGATATGCCCTGTGAGAACAATGAAGATGACTACAAGCATGACGACGACGACGCTGATGACGATAACGATGACGACGACGATGACGTCCTCACAACTTCTAGGTTCCGAGACGCCCTGACCTGATCCGAGACATCCTCGAAACTCTGAACTCGGAGGTGCCCTTCCCTACGGTGGCCCATGCACTTTCGTTTCAGACATCTTCGCAAATTTGGGTACCGACACGCCCTGGGGTGAGGCGTTCAGGCCGCTTTCGCGTGAGCTATCCTCGCAACTCTGACCTCGGAAGTGCCCTGCCCCATGGTGGCCCGGCCACTTTCACCCGAGACATCCTCGCAACTTTGGGTTCCGAGACGCCCTGAAGTGAAGTGTTCAGGCCTTTCGCGCCTGAGACATCCTCGCCACGTTGACTCGGATATGCCCTGCCCCTTAGTGGTGTTCGCTCCCGCCTGTGACATCCTCGAGACTCCGATCTCAGATATGCCCTGAGCTCAGGTGTTCAGGCCATTTACGCGTGAGACATCCTCCGTCCTCGGACCTTGGCGGTGCCCTGCCCCATGGCGGCAGGGCGCTATCGCCCGAGACATCTTGGCAACTCTGGGTTGCGATATGCCTTGAGCTCAGATGTTCAGGCCACTTTCACTTTAGACATCCTCGCAACTCTGGGCTTCGATATGCCCTGTGAGGACGATGGCGATGACTACGAATATGACGACGACGACGCTGATGACGATAACGAAGACGACGGCGATGACGACGATGATGATGGTGATGATGGTGATGATGATGATGATGACGACGACGATGACGGCGACGACTACGACGACGATGATGTTGATGACGATGATGATGCTAGTTGCGATGATGAGGATGATGCTGATGATGATGATGGTGGTGATGATGATGATGTAGCCATGATTGTAGTGGCCTTCGGCCAGTGCCGCCGATCCGGGTCGCTCGGTGTTATTCTCCAGACGCAGACATGATGGGCGCACACTCAAACGCACAAAATTTCTCGGGTTACCTTCGAAAGGGCGTAGGAATGCAGTTGGGTCAATAGAGCCATCTCGCAACAGTGGTTCTATCAACGGCGGGGTGCTTGCAGTGACCATGGGGACGGGAAATAATAATGACATGAAAATTCCATACAGGATGCCGATCACTTTGGAAACTCACGATACGTCGTGCACGGAGTCGTGTTGCGAAACATGTGGCCTGGACGATGTGGTGCGAGCGGTGGAGGCGAGCCTATCGGCGCAAGGACGCCCTCTTGGGGCGTTTTTTGAGCCATCTTAGGAGCCTGTCAGGGCGTCGTGGGGGCTTCTTGGGGGCTTTCGGAGGCCCTCTTGGAGGCTCCTGGGGCCTCGTGGGCTGGAAGGCTAGATTTTTTCCGCTTTTCGTCCCTCTTTTGGGTCCTCTTGGGGCCGTCTTGGGGGCCTGTTGGGCCGTCTTGGGCGGCTCTTGGGCCGCCTTGGGGCCCTCTTGGGCCGTCTTGGGACTGTCTGGGGGCCTCCTGGGCCGTCTTCGAGCGGTCTTGGGGGCCTCTTGGGCCGTCTTGGAGCGTCGGAAAGCCGAAAAAAGCGACAACCCCAAAAACATTGAAAAAAACCAATGGGAATCAACGATTTTTGCCTCTGGGGGCCATCGTGGGAGGCCTCTTGGAGGCCTCTTCAGACGTCGTGGAAGGCTCTTGGGCCGTCTTGGGGCCATCTTGGGCGTGTTCGGGCGATCCTTCGGGGTCTCGGGACTTTCGTAGACCGTCCTCAGAGACTTTTGCGGCCGCGGCCACCCTTCCAGCGCATCCTCGAGATTAGAGCCTTCTGTAAAAGCAGCGCCCCGCATCCGCCGGAAACTCGCCCCCCCCCCCCATCCCCCCTTCCCCGGCAGAGCCACCCCGGCAACCCCCCCAGAGGCTGAGGTTCAGCCTCGAGGCTGTAGCTGAGAGTCCTTGAAACTCACACGCCGGTGCTGATGATGATGATGATGGTGGTGGTGATGATGATGATGTAGCCATGATTTGCTTTGAAACATGTGCCTCCTGAGAACATGCCACTTTCACTTTAGACATCCTCGCAACTCTGGGTTCCGATATGCCCTGTGAGAACAATGAAGATGACTACAAGCATGACGACGACGACGCTGATGACGATAACGATGACGATAACGATGACGTCCTCACAACTCTGGGTTCCGAGACGCCCTGAGGACGCGCCAGTCCAGTGCTGGCCGAGGCGGCGACGGCGCCGAGGAACATCGACTTGCTTGCCCCGCTCAGGGGGAGGGGGAGGTGCACGTAGAGAAGCGGCAGGAGGAAGATGAGGAGGGGGAGGGTATGGGGGAGGGCGATGATAAGGAGGAGGTGGAGAAGGAGGAGGGGGAGGTAGACGGAGGGGGAAGGGAGAAATAGAAGAAGGAGGGAAAAGAGAGGGCAGAGGAGAGGGCGAGAGGAGGGTGTTTGCCATGGCCAGGAGGAAAGGGAGAAGGGCACGCAACACAGATTATCATGTGGGGTCCTTCCGTCGGAGTAATGCTGTTTTTTTGTTGTTCCAGTGGGTTTCGAGGGGGTTTTCTGCTTCGGCAGCAAACGCTCATAAACTGCCTCGGACGACCCCCTGGGGCGTGGCCTTGGCAGGACTCGGCACCGTGCAGCCTTATATCTGCCGTCTGCGCGAGAGCTCGTTGTCAATGCGGCGCTGTTTGGATCTCTCGGCAGGCGCCTGGGGAGCCTCTTGGAGGCAGTTTTGAAGCCTCTTGTGGCGTACTGTTGGCCGTGGGGGGGTCTTGGGTTCCGCTTTAAACTTCTTGAAAGCTTCTTGGAGGCATTGGGAAGCCGCTCGCGGTCTCGGAGGCGCCCTTGGAGCGGAAAGTTCCCTTTCTTGGGGCCGTCTTGAGGGATCCTGGGCGTCTCTTGGGGCGTTTTGGGGCTCTCTTGGGCTGCCTTGAGGCTCTCCTGGGCTTCCCTTGGAGGCCTGTTGGGCCCTCTTGGAGCGATCTTGGGGGCGCTTGGGCATTCTTGGGCGCTGCGAAACACTCCAGAATTGTATATGCGAAAAACGCCGTATTTCTAGAGAAGTGGCGCAATTCTTGCTTCCTGGGACCTTTTTGGAGGGCCTCTTGAGACTCTCTTAGGGCTTCTTGGCGGCCTCTAGGACTAACTGAGGGCTTTGTTTGGCGTCTTGGAGCGATCTTTCAGCGATCCGGATCCTTCTTGGACCGTCTCAGGAGAGTCTCGGGGCCCTTTTGGCGCGCTCCCAGGACCTGCCGGGGACCTGCCCGGGTGTTGGTCGGCGGTTGGTCGGGGTATTTTTCGCCCGGGGATCCTTAGGAGCCGCCCCGCGCGCGCGCGAATTAGAAATACTGTTAGACTGTTAACCAGCGACCAGAGATCTTAGCACGCCTCTGGCCCGTTGGGCTGGCGAATTCTGCGCCCTCCGATTGGTGCGACGTTTTGGGTCCGTGGTAGCGGCGACGGACGCTTTCCACGGATGCGATGTTGCACGTCTGGCTCTTTTCTACCCGTGGTCGCGACGACGCTTTCCACGGATGCGATGTTGCATGCCCGGCTCTTTTCTATCCGTGGCAGCGGCAACGCTTTCCGCGGATCTTTGCGCACACTTGCACCAGCCGTTCTTGGCTCACCATTTTCGGATCAAGGGATAGGAATGGCGCCGCGTCCGCGCGGGGCCAGGGGTCCGGTGGCCGCATCCAGAAGCATCGCGATCGCCTCCTCGTGAACATCTGGAGCCGTTTGCTTGCTGCCGAACCCTCTTTGCAATGGCTGTGGCGGCGGCGGGCGCTGTGTGAGCCTTACCCATCCCTCGCAAAAAAAGATTCGGATGGGCGGGTGGGGCGTAGTTTGCATTGTCTGAGTGTCGTTGCTTTTTACGCCCGCTTCCCGTTGATTGTTAGTTGTTTGTTTTTGGTTTTTGTTTCATGAACGTTTTTCTCCTCGCTCCCCCTCCTGCTCCTTACCCTCCTCCCCGTTTTCCTCTTCTCCTTCGTCCTCCTCCTTCTCGTCCACCTTTTCTCTCCTCCCGCCCGCACCTCCTTGCTCCCTCCCTTCTGAATCCCCCTGGCCCCCACCACTCGTCCGCCTTTCCCCATTCTCCCCCTGCCCCCTCCCGCCCGCACGCTGCTGCGCAAGTGCTCCAGATGCCCCACCCTCCTCCCTCCTCCCCACCTTTTGCTCTGCAGCCTGGGCAGGTGTGCCGCGTGCTGCGCGGCCGGCGGCCTCCGCTGGCGCTGCTTGAGAACGTCCCGGGCCTGCTGGGCACGGATGGCGGCAGGGCATTGGAGGCCGCCTCTTGGGGCACCCGCGCCCGTCCCGAGGGGTTCGGAGGAGTACGTAAGCCCGAGCTTCTCAACATCATTAAGTCGCCATGTGCCTCCGATGCTTAATTTTTTTCTCCGGTTTTCGGCTCAATGGGGCTCGAAGAGGGCTACACTTCAGAACGTTTCGAGTTTAGAGACGGCCCCCAAAGCCCCAACAACGGACCAGGCTAGCCCAGGATGGTCCCACAAGGCCCACGAGGCAACCCAGGAGGGCCTCCAGACGGTGACTCGAAGCGTCCAGAAGTTTCCTGTGCAAAGACGTGTTTCATTTGGGGGCGTAGAGGTGGGCAGCGGACGCCCAGGACGCAGCCAGGGCCACAGAGCCAGAAAACTGAGCAGGCCGCGGGGAGGACCCCAGGAGGGGCTTCAATGGGCTTGAAGAAGGAGTGAACCCGACAACTGCGTAGGCCAGAGGACAGCAAAAGCAATCATTGCAGACCATGATGCGGGGATCTCAAACGCCATGCCCGGTGGGGCGGCGGATCGCTTTGCTCATACCGCCGGTCCAAAGTTTAGTCTTGTTGGTATTTGTCGGTGTGCTCGCGAGGGCATTTGGAGGGTCTTGCGGGTGTCGTGGGTCCTTCTGACTGTTTCGGAGGTCACCTTCGGGGGAAGGGCTAGCACAACACATGCGCACCGCATTGTCTTTTCAAGGGGATGAGGGACTGCCGATGCTGGGGTGAACTGGAATGGTTTGATTCCGTGTGGTGAACGAACGATGAGGCAGTATCCGACGTAAATCACAATACGAATAGGCGCGCGGAGAAGGCCGGCCTCGGCAGAGAGGTGAAGTTTATTTCTGAGACAGCGCTTGCTTTCTGAGGAACTAGGCCCGTTTGCCGCCCTGGCAGCCCCATTTCCATCCGTCGCCGCACCATTTGTCCCAACAAAAGGCCCGCTTTCGCCGCCCCGTTGCACCCCCCCGTTGCATATGTAATAGTCGCATCAGCTTGCAAGTGTATTGCATTGCATTGCAATCGAATTGCGCGGCACACTCTGCATTGCCTTGCATTGCTTTCAATCGCATTGCATTGCAATCGCATTGCATCGCATTGCATTGCAAACGCGCCCGCGTCCCGACGCCCCTTGGGCTCAAGCGACGCCACTCTAATTGATTGCCTCATTCGTGAGGCACGATCACATCCGAGTAACAGAAAAGAAGACGCCGACATCCTTCGACGATGCACTCCTCGACTCCCGTGCTATCTCTTGCTGTCCTACACACACCTGCAGTATGGATGCGTCATGGGCTACTTTTTCATACTTTTGAACGCCGAAGGCGTTACGTATGGCACGGCTTACCATACCACCTTCGATTTGGTAGCGGAGTTGGCATCATCGTTGTGTGGTTGGTTCTAATGATAATGCCCGCATTCCACGACCCAGAATGGTGGGCTGCTTCTATGGTGGTGCAAACTGTTCGGCCGCCTTCCCTCGCGGGGATCAGAGTGGGAATGGGGCCTATACGCGGCATTCCATGTACCGAGGGCCACGTCGGCTTACACGTGCAGTACACGGCTATGAAAATTGACGTTTCTACCCGGCCTCAAATAGTGGACAGCTCACTAACGGATTCCATCTCCGCACAGCTCGGACAGGCCCAACATACCAATACGCAGCCAAGCCTGAGCTGAAGGCTGACGGCCATGGCGGCCTACTAAAACTGGCTGACGGACACACCAGCCCACAAACATGACGACCATGACATCATCTTCACAGTTATGAACCTGCGCTACACCAAAGTATCTATTTTCGGTATCATATGGGCGTGTTAAACATCCTGTTTCTCTCCTCAGTGCCAAATTCGAGTACGTTGAGGATGAGCGACAGCTCACCTCAGGCACAGCCTTCGTCGACTTCAGAGTCGCCTGGGGCGAACGCCTCGACTCGCTCTGTACTGTCCCGATTCGAAATGACAAGGGTGGAAACTGCAAGATTTACCTTCCCAAACTTCCAGATACTGACGGTCCTGTTGTTTCGAGCTTTGGGAGTCGGCACTGCACGAGCATCCCAGCTGCTGTAGCCCCCCAACCATCGTACGCCTTGAACACAACAGCAGTACGACCAGGTGCGCAGCGATGGGCACATATCCGAACGCCCACTTGGAAACGCCGGGTGGATTTTCAATGGTAGAACGGCAGAGACTACCAATGCCGACTTGAGCGGCGCATTTCCTGCCACCTTGGGCAACATTTGGAGCGATCAGGAGCCAAACGAGTCTACGACGCCGTTAGGCCAGGCAGTTGGCAACGCACCGCCGACCGACCTAATTACAGATTGGCCGGCTACCGCCGCAGTCAGCGGCGCACCATCAGCTACCAAAGCCTTGCGGGACAAAGCGGACCGACGACACGACTCATATTTCGCCACGGCGAGCATCATGCCAAACACCGTGGGAGAAGACACGTGAGACAGCCATCTAGAAGACTCAGGCGAGCAGTGCGCCGCGTATGTCATTGCAAAGGTGGGGGTCGCGGTAAGGGTCGTAGATGCACCCGCAGTATACGTGGACCGAGGATAGCCTCATACGGAGACCGAGGATAGCCTCATACCGATCATGGTTTGAGGGGCTTATTCGGTGGAAGGGGGCAGCGGCCCTAGCCGCAGACGCACCACTGGAAAAGGGTGAGAGGCGCAAGGTAAGCCACATGGATAATATTGGCCAGAGAACGAAGTGTAACAACAGCGGCAGTGACAGACATTTCCAGACACAGTGCGCGATAGTAAGCAGGATGGGTAAAGGATCCGTATTTCTTGGCTCATAACAGCGATCTGACGTCGAGTGGGAATTTGCGGATTTTCAACATTTTGCTCATCGCCCTTTCGCCTCTCGTGCATATTGGTTTCTGATGGCGCAGCGTGCCGATGCAGCCCTCGATGGTGAACGGTTCGTCGCTTACTTATACAACGGCATGTTTGTCGAGCGCGAGAATCATCTCGAGTCGCGGCTAGGGTTCCTCTTCGCGGACACGTGCGCGATGACCTGGAGGGCGATATCGACTGCGTATCCGACCCTCTGTCCGAGGCCGAAGCCGCCCCTGTTACCGAAGAAGAGCTGGGGACGGCTCAGCACAGTGCCGAGCAGGATGCACATGCCCTCCAGCCAACGCCCGCCGCGATTGGTCTTGCCGCAGATGCATTGGCGGAGGTTGGGTGGGACCGGACTTCTGCTGCGATGCCTGCGACGTTGAGTCGTCGGGCCCCCGCCGGGGATGGCCCAGCCACGGGCGGCAGCAGTTCGAGGGATTGTCGCGCCCCTCGCGGCAAGGGCTACCGCCTCGCCGCGGGCAAGGGCGCCCGCGCCCACGGGGGCGGCATGGGCAATGCGAAGTTCTTCCGAGGTGAATGCGGCCCACGAGCGGAGGTGCCAGACAAAAGGCGTGCGCTGGTGGCTGGGCCGCGGCTGGTCAGGGTCATCCGTTCGCCATCGGCACTCACTCCACAGTGCTCTCAGGGGCCCCGCGTCAGGCAATATCCTCGGGATTGCCGGCCGACGATGGAATATCAGGGGCGAGGCCCATAGCGCCAAGAGGCTGATCACCGAGGATCGGGGTGCTCACCGCGTGCGCGGGCGCTCGCGCTGGGCCGATCACCGCCCTTGATGCCAAACCGGTCGGCCTTCGCGCGAAGCGCGCGCCATTTGGCCGCGCCGTGGGATGGGGCCGCGGGGGCGGCTCCGACGGTGATTGCGACGCCCCTGAAGGCCCCGTCGTGCTGGGCGACATCCAGGCGTTGGCCATCAAGGCAGACTGGGCACAATTGCCCGATACCCCCCGCCTGAAGAGGTACCGGTGGGACTACCACTCACTGAATGACTACGAGTACATCGGGAAACGCGCGCGCCCTGGAGGCGCGCCGCGCCCCGGCCCCTTCGACGCCGCGGGCCAGATCGCGGGCGACTCGTCGTCTGCCCCATCCAGCGGGCGCCTTGTAGGGCGTCTTCCCAGCCGACGAGGACAGGGAAATGGACCGTCTGAGAGATGGCCTCCCAGGGGGGAAGCTACGACCAGGGCGGAAAGTAAATCTGCGGGGGTCAGGATTGGAAAAGGAGGCGGAGAAGAAGAGGCAGGAGCAGGCACCGAAGCACCACCCATGAAGATTCCGACCCCCGACCTCGCCTCTACGCGCGGGGCCCCGCGGGAATGGGGGGGCGGGCGCGCCCGCGGGGCGAGCAAACGGCCCCAACGCGGGCGCCCCTTTGAGTTGCGGTTGCGAGCGAGGCCGCCGCATTCCACAGCGGCTGAGCGCCCTGGCCGCAGGAGCCTTTGGCCGAGATAATCTCGGAACGCGCAGAGTGAATGAGAGGCCGCGGGCTAGTCAGCGCCTCCAGAGGCCTCGAAGGGCGCCCGAGCCACCGCCTCCAAGGCGGCGCCGCCAACGACGCCCTGCCACGAGTCGATTGCGGAAGAGCTGAAGAGGACTGCAGGCGACGCACCCCCACCATTGCGCGCAGGCGCGGACTCGCGCGACCTGACCTGACGCGAGGGGGGGGGGCGCCGCGGCTTCCGGCCAGGACACTGGCTCAACCACTAATGCCAAACCCAGGCTGGGCCCACAGTCGCAGCGCCAGGCGCCCCTCCGTCCTGGGCGAGCCCCAGGGAGGCAATCCCTGAACGGACGGCCGCGCCCGACGAGGAGAGGGCGGCTGCGCCCGAGGAGACCGGGGCGGCCGCGCCCGCGGAGGGCGGCGACCAAAGCGCGCCGCTGACCCGCGCGCCCTGCGCCGCCGAGTGCTCCGCGAATGCGCTCGACGAGGTGAACCAGCAGCGCGCCCGAAACCAGCCGCGGCCAAAACCGCCACTACGCCTCGACGCCGATGGCGCCCAGCGGGTCGCAGAATTGCGCGAGAAGCGGGTGTGCGACCGTTTGCCCAGCCAGCCAATCGAAGCCTTGCTGTCAGGACTGCGGTCAATTACGCGTCGCCGCCGGCCAGATCGACAGCGACATGCCCGCGCTTGCCTCGC